ATTTCACTTCCTCGTAGTCGTTGTATAAATAGATAGACCTAACTTCCCCATCGCCACTGACAGGCAAGTACACACACACACACACACACACACACACACACACACACAAACGCGCGCGCGCACACAGCCTCAAAAACTTACTGACAAAGAAAATTGGTCATGCAGCGAAGGCAGGATCGATACCGGCAGACCCACAGAGCGCACCTCGCTCACCATCTCCCGCTCAAGTACCAAGAATCATTAAAGCACCAACGAACGCGTAAACACCAGGAAGGAAGGAACCAAGTTTGAAACAAGTAGCAGGGCGGAAGGAAAAAGGGACAATCAGGCTTAGCTCGTCCAAGCTGCAGCCGACCCCCAAAGACGTATTCGTATATTTTAATTTAATCTGTAACCGAAAACTATATTTCATACTGGAAGAAGGGGACCCTTAGCCTCGGAGAAAAGCACACACAACGCATTAAAGGGGATTTTTAGGTACCTTCTAATACAGTTTCCATGTGCTTTTGTCTTAATGTATGTTATCATTTTGTGTACTGTTAGGATTGGAATAGGTTAACTGTGATTTAGTTCTGTAGTCAATTATTTGCCCGAAATGCCTTGCAAAAGAGTGGCTTCATTAGCATTTGTAACTCCTAACCCCACAATTGTACATTATTCTTATGCTCTTTGTACACACATTCTTTTGAATAAAAATTATTATTATTATTATAATATTCTAGTGTGTGAAGCATTTACAGAAGTACGATTCGAACACAGGACGTAAATGAAGCACTTCGCACTATTCGCGAAAAGTACGACGTCATAACTTTAGTGTCGCCTGTTTGTGTTTCTCATTAACGAGCTGCAAGATTAACAAGCATTTTGGTCATTATTAGTCTGAGGACCCAACCCGTCCTCAGACTAAGTCCATTCCATCCAGCGGTCGACCCCAAAGACGCATTCATCAATTTGAACATGTTGTTCATTTAAAATATAAATTAATATTATTATTAGTATATATAATACATTAATATTATTATATATTAGTATATATAGTACATATTTAGGCACTGGTTTGGTTAGGTGTTTAGGTTCTGTTGGCGATTATTTGTATTTGTAGTACGTGGGTGAAGTATTTACAGCGTTGTGGTTCGAACAAAATTCGTCAGTGAAGCACTTGTTCCGGAAGTGTTCGAACGAAATCAGTTGTCAGTCGTGTGCAAACCGTTTTTCATTCATGAACACGGGGTTTAGCGGGTTCTTGGAATGGCAGCCCATCCTCCAAACAGACCCGATAGTGATTCCATGCACCCGCCAAACCCCCTGTTTATGAATGAAAAACGGTTTACACACGACTCAACTGATTTCGTTCGAACACTTCCGGAACAAGTGCTTCACTGACGAATTTTGTTCGAACCACAACGCTGTAAATGCTTCACCCACGTACTACACAAATAATCACCAACAGAACCTAAACACCTAACCTATGTCTATATATGCACAATGTGCTAATATATTGTAATATTAATTTATATTTGAGAAAATTCCCGTTTTGAATGAACAGCGTGTAAAAATTTATGAATGCGTCTGTGGGGTCGACCGCTGGGTGGAATGAACTTGAGTCTAGGACGGGTTGGTTGTGAGTCGTGTGTAAACCGTTTTTCATTCATAAACATTGGGTTTGGAGGGTTTATGGAATGGACTTTGGCCTTTGTTTATGGGACGGGCTGGAGGACGGGCTGACTAGAGTGAGACCAGGCGGGCTTGGAGTCTGAATAGTTCATGAACCACGGAAGTGAAGCATCGAGCGGCAGCTCATTTCTCCAATATTTGCGGGTTGAGCTTCAGCTGCTCGGTTCCGTTTCTTTCCTATTAATCAGTCGACTGTGATGCATTAATTAATTGATATACATACATAATTTATCTGGCCTCGTAGGAACTAGATCATTAGCATAGAATAACCAAATAAATAACTTTTCCTGTTCTTCCCACCAGCAAGAGCCACACCAGACATGGGCCACCGTGGCCACAAAAGAATAGACCGATCGGCTGTTGTCAAATCGTAAACTAGACAGTTCAACAAAGCTAAGCAGTCCCCGTGGCGTAGTGATACGACACTCGCCCGGCGTTCAATCCCCGACCGTCCAAGTGGTTGGGCACCATTCCTTCCCCCCGTCCCATCCCAAATCCTTATCCTGACCCCTTCCAGGTGCTATATAGTAGCGCTTGATATTTTTACGGGCTATTCATGCCCGTGCCACCTCTTGGGTGGCTTAATCTTTATCAATCTTGATAATTCCCTTCCCTACGCCGGGAGCTTTGCGAACACTTTGGCCTGGGTTCGTATCCTAGCCGGGGGAGGGAGGATTGACTGGGCGCCAATCCTTAACTGTAGCCTCTGTTCACCCAGCAATAAATGGGTACCTGGTTGTTAAACAATTTGGCGGGTCGTATTCCGGGGGAAATTAGGATTAAGGACCTGCCCGGAACGCTATGCGTGTTAGTGGCTTTACAAGACTGTAACAACTCTGAAGCTGAATCTAAACAACTGTCTAAGGTATTCAGTCCCGGCCCCACCAATTAGGAACAGTGGGTTCTGGTCCTACACCTTGGGAATTGTGAGGACCTGAGGCTATTCTCAGCTGGTCAACACAGGCCCAGAGAGAAAACTGATCAACACAGAGTATACAAGAACAAGGAGCAAGCAGAAGCGCCTGGCACCCGGTCACCTAAATTGTTAGTAACATAACACTCATTATCAAGACTTAAGCTGAAGCTTCATAATATTATAGTTGGTAGTGGAGGACGAAGTGGATGAGGTTGAGACGGAGGACTAGGAAGTGGATAAAGAACAGCAGCAGGAGGTGGAGGACTAGGAAGGGGACGAGGTTGAGGAGGAAGCACTTCCCCAGTAGTGACTACGGGGGAGTGAAGTCTAGCTATTTGTACCTACCATAGCCTTGTTGTACCTTTTGCCTTATAATTCAACTAATCTGACGTTGAAATTCGCTGTCAAATCCAGCCTTAATTTTGAGGGGTAGAGGTGGTTTCCACTTCTTTCAGTGCATTCCACTTGTTAACCGCCCGTACAGGAGTACGAGCATGTCCTCATTTGTCCGACTCGCTGGCTTTTCCAACTTCCATCTGTGGCCGCCTCTCCTACCCTCTCGAAATTTAAAAGAAGCTGTCCATGGTTCAAGTATGTTTATTGAGACAAGAAATACATCTCAAAGGGATAGAGCGCTGTTCTTGTCCATCTTGATTATTTCTTCAGTATCTTTTGTGATCAAATCTCTTGCGTTTCTTCTCTTCTCAGGGCTGAGAAATTCTTTAGCCGATCTTTGTAGCTCACGCCTCTTCAGTCCCAGACTAATCTTGTTGCAAACCTCTACTTTTCCAGTTTTAGTTTAGTGCATTATAAGGCGCGGACTTTAGGCCAGTGCTGCATATTGTAGTATTGGTCTAACGTAATCTGTGCAGATTGCCCGGAAAATCGTGATTTAGGTTTTTAGACGACATTCTAATGCTGCCGATGTTGCTTCTATTTGTCTCTCCGGTGTTAGTGTTGAAGTTCTATCTACTTCAATTTTTTTTCCAGGTCGATATCTATCTATATCTATATATCTGTGTCAGTGTCTGTGCCCGTCTTTGTATCTGTACTCACCTAGTTGTGTTTGCGGGGGTTGAGCTCTGGCTCTTTGGTCCCGCCTTTCAACAGGTGTACAGGTTCCTGAGCCTATTGGGCTCTATATACACACACGTATATAGGGGGGGGGGGGCTGTCTGTCTTCCCCCTTCGTTACTTTACACTTGTAGGGGGTTTAATTCTACCAGCCATTTATTGCTCAAGATGTTTCTCACATCATGGAACAAGACTTTATTAAATCCATATCCAACTTGAATATGTTTAAATAGGGGGAAACAGAGTCCACACGAGCCCCGCACGTGGCCCGCCTGAGGTTGGCAATAAACCAGTTTTTACCGCTGCGTGAGAGCAACACTCGCAGTGGTCACCAGGTCACGCAAACATACGAACCCTCCCCCTGGAGGAGGCAACGTTCACACCCCCGGGGGAGGAGAAGGGCAACGTTCACACCCCCGGGGGAGAAGGGCAACGTTCACACCCCCAGGGGAGGAGAAGGCAACGTTCACACCCCCGGGGGAGGAGGAGGCAACGTTCACACCCCCGGGGGAGGAGAAGGGCAACGTTCACACCCCGGGGGAGAAGGGCAACGTTCACACCCCCAGGGGAGGAGAAGGCAACGTTCACACCCCCGGGGGAGGAGAAGGCAACGTTCACACCCCCGGGGGAGGAGAAGGCAACGTTCACACCCCCGGGGGAGGAGAAGGGCAACGTTCACACCCCCGGGGGAGGAGAAGGCAACGTTCACACCCCCGGGGGAGGAGAAGGGCAACGTTCACACCCCCGGGGGAGGAGGAAGCAACGTTCACACCCCCGGGGGAGGAGGAGGCAACGTTCACACCCCCGGGGGAGGAGGAAGCAACGTTCACACCCCCGGGGGAGGAGGAGGCAACGTTCACACCCCCGGGGGAGGAGGAGGCAACGTTCACACCCCCGGGGGAGGAGGAGGCAACGTTCACACCCCCGGGGGAGGAGGAAGCAACATTCACACCCCCGGGGGAAAAGGAGGCAACGTTCACACCCCCGGGGGAGGAGGAAGCAACGTTCACACCCCCGGGGGAGGAGGCAACGTTCACACCCCCAGGGGAGGAGGCAACGTTCACACCCCCGGGGGAGGAGGCGGCAACGTTCACACCCCCGGGGGAGGAGGAGGCAACGTTCACACCCCCGGGGGAGGAGGAGGCAACGTTCACACCCCCGGGGGAGGAGGAGGCAACGTTCACACCCCCGGGGGAGGAGGAGGCAACGTTCACACCCCCGGGGGAGGAGGAGGCAACGTTCACACCCCCGGGGGAGGAGGAGGCAACGTTCACACCCCCGGGGGAGGAGGAGGCAACGTTCACACCATGGGGGAGGAGGAGGCAACGTTCACACCATGGGGGAGGAGGCAACGTTCACACCCCCGGGGGAGGAGGAAGCAACGTTCACACCCCCGGGGGAGGAGGAGGCAACGTTCACACCCCCGGGGGAGGAGGCAACGTTCACACCCCCGGGGGAGGAGGAGGCAACGTTCACACCCCCGGGGGAAAAGGAGGCAACGTTCACACCCCCGGGGGAGGAGGAAGCAACGTTCACACCCCCGGGGGAGGAGGAGGCAACGTTCACACCCTCAGGGAAGGAGGAGGCAACGTTCACACCCCCGGGGGAGGAGGAGGCAACGTTCACACCCCCGGGGGAGGAGGCAACGTTCACACCCCCGGGGGAGGAGGAGGCAACGTTCACACCATGGGGGAGGAGGAGGCAACGTTCACACCATGGGGGAGGAGGAGGCAACGTTCACACCCCCAGGGGAGGAGGAAGCAACGTTCACACCCCCGGGGGAGGAGGAGGCAACGTTCACACCCCCGGGGGAGGAGGAGGCAACGTTCACACCCCCGGGGGAGGAGGAGGCAACGTTCACACCCCCGGGGGAGGAGGAGGCAACGTTCACACCCCCGGGGGAGGAGGAGGCAACGTTCACACCCCGGGGGAGGAAGCAACGTTCACACCCCCGGGGGAGGAGGAGGCAACGTTCACATCGTGGGGAGAAGAAGGCCACGTTCACACCCCCGGGGGAGGAGGAGGCAACGTTCACACCCCCGGGGGAGAAGGAGGCAACGTTCACACCCCCTGGGGAGGAGGCCACGTTCACACCCCCGGGGGAGGAGGAGGCAACGTTCACACCCCCGGGGGAGGAGGAGGCAACGTTCACACCCCGTGGGGAGAAGAAGGCCACGTTCACACCCCCTGGGGAGGAGGAGGCAATGTTCACACCCCCTGGGGGGGGGGAGGAGGCAACGTTCACACCCCCTGGGGAGGAGGAGGCAATGTTCAACCCCCCCCCCCTGGGGAGAAGAAGGCCACGTTCACACCCCCTGGGGGGGAGGGGAGAAGGCAACGTTCACACCCTGGGGAGGAAGGAGGGGAAGAGAAGGCAATGTTCACCTTCCAGGGGGGAAGGTGGAGCAAAAGAAACCAGGGAAAAAAACGAAAATACAAGGATGGCAATATGGTCACTTATTGTTATCGAGACTCCCTGTCAGGTACATGTAAAGGAAGAGCAGCAGAAAGATCTCTTACAAGTAAATGCGAGTCGACACAAGGTTGGCTTTCTTGAATTCAAGAGTAAATGGAGATGACAAAAGGTTCTAAAAGACTGCCTCAAAGGGCATGCCGGCAGTAAAGAATCTCCAAAAAAGGGGCATAGGCTCTAGTAATGAGCAAGAGGCATTAATGTTCTGGGAAAGACCTGAATGTGGGGAGAAATGGAGCGCACTATACAATTTGCTCATACAGGAAGCATTGGAATAAATATTGAACTGAAAAAATGGATACTGGACTAAATAGTCGAGTTAAAGGTTATAGCAAAAGCTGAAGGGGGGAGGAGAGAATAGCGGCAGGGCGAGTGCCAAGCAGTAACTAGGCTGGACAAGTGGGGAAAGGGGGGGGTGTGTTAAAGAGGAAGAATATGACAACCAAGATTAAAAGTTTAAATGCATTAAAATAGGCAACAAATATTTATACTTCAATGAAAATTACAGTTCAAACTGCTATACAAGGCAAAGAACGATAATATTCAGGGAGATTAGTAATAGGTTCTGAGTAATTAGGATTGGGGAGCATAGGTAAAGTTATAGTTTGATGACAAGGGTTGTGGTAAGCATATGTGAGCCAGCAGGGTCCAGCAAGGAATCAACAGCCAGAGGGGGTTGCTCTCTGACTGCCAAGTCAGGCATCCAACCAAAATGTCAAGGAAGTGGGGACGACTAGACAAGCAGCCATGTGCTCGGAACTAGGGGACAGTATAAGAGGAACAATAGAAACTTCCATAAAAGGTGAATATTTCACTATCAAGCTGCGATAAGCAGGAACAAGAAGCGAGGTAGCCAAGTGGAGAACCGAGGGCTTACCTCCGAGAGGAAGAGAAACCGGGTTTACATTTTACTAGAATTAACTGATGGAAGATTCCAACATAGAAAAATTACTACCAAAGGCATCTACAACCATGAATCAAAGGGATTGACAGCATATCAATCTGGAAGAACCAGTATCCTCGAGCGTCTAGAACGAATTTGATGGCCTCGCAGCAACACAGTTCAGTTGTCCCCAGTTGGAACACTGGGCGGTAAAATAACTGCAAAGGCTTTCATTGACCGACGTCTTTTGAGACCCAAATTGGGATCTTACCAATGTGGGAGAGAGTACAAAGTGGGCAATTGCCTCCTTAGGTCTCAACGATGCGGGTAAGGTTCAAGTTAACGTGTATGTGTAAATCGTCAGGGAAGGCAAGGGTCAAAATAGTTGCGTCATTTAACAGAACCAAGTAAATTATGGTACATAGCTATGGTCATGGAGAACCATGCATATTTGAGAACATGGAACTCCACTTTAAGAGCAAATGACAGTTCTAACAACCATGACTCCAGGTGACAGTCGTCACCACTGGGGACTTTAGATTTAAACCTGTTAACGAAGTGGGAGGGAAACAGGGTCAATTGGGTGAACTTTAGACAGCCAGGTTTGGGGTCCACAGTACCCAGGGATAAGGAGCTTCAATCACTGTCCAGCTTGGGGGTCTAATCATCTGCCCCTGGACTTTCAGAAGTAGGGAGATAGTGGGGATTGGGATTTGGTGGTGGTGGTGGTGGTGGGGGGGGGGGGGGGGGGGGGGGGGGGGGGGAATATTTTTGGATCCCAGAACTTGGGGAATACATACCACCATGGCTACGAGGGAGGCGGAGCATTGGCTGGTGCAGGCGTGCATGCATCGTCCCATGCAGTGCTTTATTTTTTTATTTTTTTTTTTTTTTAAGTCCTCTGGCAATATTCTCCCACACTAGTGCAAAGGTCTCACCCCAGCCTAGAGACCCAGTCCTACCTCTAGGTGCTAGCACTCTTGCAGGCGATCTGATGACCTGAACCAGTCCATGGAATACTTACACGAGTCCCCCTCACGGCAAGATAAGCCAGAAAAAACATGGTAGTTGCTCTACATATTTAAATTCATACTCTACATCAGTCTGGGTAAAACTTTAGTTGTGCCCCTTTTAAGAAATTAATAACCTCCAATTTGAAAGTTTTCAAAAAATGGAAAATGCCAGTTCATATCTTATTTAGGGGTTTAAGCTTTAGGAAATGCATAGGGATTTAGATTAAAGCAAATGTTCAATAGAAGTCTAGTTAAGAGCTGTATTATATATCGGAGTTTAAAGGATAACCATAGAGCTTTTGACCATTTTGCGAGACCCCAAAATGGTTACACAGTATCGTTTTGTACGCAATATACTAGTAGAAAGTTCTAGAAAATTTATCGTTAACCCTGAAAATAAGGACATTGCCTTCCTGGAGACTACTTTCTTGCAAGATGTGGGAGTAAGGGACACCAATTGGAACACTTGTCAAATACATGTTCCATACATCTGCAGTCAAATTTGCAAACTAGGATGAAAATCCAACACTCATTTCAAGGTTATGTCAGACAAGAGTATGCAATAAAGACTTGTCTTTTATGAGCCATGGAACCTTTCCAGGTGCATTGTTTCCATAAATTATCAGCAAATCAAAGTCAGGCAAGAGGTTATTTAAAAATACAATAAAGGATTTCATTAAAACAAGAAATTCAGAAAAGGTTTTATTCCATAATGACGTATTCTTTGGAATGAAAATGGTTGAACTTTTACATCAAATTAAGGGATAGGAGATGAAGATAAAGATTGGAACAAGTCATTCCTGCTAAAATATTAAAGGATTAAGATCCTTCAATGAAGTCTAGATTACATATTTACAGACAATTATACATGTCTTTCTTAACACTGATATGTTTTCAATGTAGCAAAGGTTAAACAGAGTAACCCATGTTTACAAAATACTGAAATTCATACAAGGAACAAACCAGGTGTCATGCAGTGTGTATAGGCCAAAAGCTGGTCTAGTGATAAAAATTCTTACACAACAGGCCACTGGAAATAGTGACTGTTTAGGGTTAAAAATCACTAAAGTTAAAAATAAAAATCTGACCATAGATCCTGCGTTTCATAAAAATTGTAACCCGTGTGCAAACGTCCAAGTTTAATCAAGAGCTTTATAGCCATAATACTTGCATCTACCACGAGCTTCACACATTACTACTACACTCATGATCAAGAGTTTATCCATGTACGCTTTAAACACACCAATCTAGCACAAAAACTCTCAAATATACACACACCAAACACCTGAGCACACATTAGCATCATTCACAACACTTATCACCAGGGAAAATTCTGTCGAGGAACCAGTTGAGAAACTCCGTGCCACCTGCAAGAAATTTGTATTAGGTCAAAACAGTAATGTTTCCACATTGCAAAATCCATAAAATTCACACTTAATACTACAGTTTGTCTATCTAATGACATAGCAATGAAAGTTAAATTGGGATATTCCTAACTAAATGGTGTAAGTAATTATCAAGAGAGCACCAAGCCAGGAAAGCTATGTAGTCCCAGCAAATGTACTGGATATTCAAAAGGCGTTAAATATCACTAATTATGCCAGTACTAGAACAAAAACCCCCCGCAAGCAAGCATCAAAAGGTGGCACCAAACCGGGAAGGGTATGTAGCACCACCAAATGCGCGAAATAATCAGAGGGCACTAAATATCACCAAGGATGCTAAAAGCCCACAAGACAAACATCAAAAGTGTCCTATTCACAAAGGATTCTATCGAGGGACAGGTGACCGCAAGGGACAGTCGAGAAGCGCACACATCCTGTAGTCGTGACATTCAACAAAGATATGCACAACTAGGAACAATGCAGTTTTGGACAAAATGGAGTGCTGCCCTGCTCTTTAAAGTGACAGTTAATTGAATATGACCAATATATAACCTTGCCAGAGCCATTTCCCACCGTTGATTATGGTGGTAGGAGGAAAGCCATGGGGACACTACCCTTAAGAGCACGCAGCATGTTACTGGTAACAAGACCTGCGATCCTGCCACCGGGCACTGTTTGAGGAATAAATAATTGGGTAGAAGTCTAAATAAGAAATGCCTTTCCAGGAAATTTAACAAGTGTGGATAGCTGCCTCCGTGGCAGTGTCCACACGCTCATTTAATGAAACCCCCAATATGGCTGGGAACCCAGCAAAACTCTACTTAAATCTGCCAAGATAAACAGCAAATGAGGTTGTTGAAATTAAACAGGATGGACATGATTAAAGAACTCTAGAGCCATGAGGGTACTGCGAAAGTCAATTACAGTACAACAATTGTTGAGAGAATTACGGCGTGAAGGCAGTCAACAGCACACACAATTGCATAAAGTTCTGCCATGAAGATGCTAGTTTCCGTAGGCAGGCGACACACACAGGCTGGAGTGTGAAGACGAAGGGAAAGGCGTTTCAGAACTGCAGGAGGGGTAAAAGCTTTAGTCATGCGGGTCAAAGTTCTACAAAATTTAAAAAAGGAACCCTTCCATGGGTAGAAGGACGGAACACGAGGAGAAACATTGTTAACACGAACAGAGAATCTTGCAAGCGAGGCAATTGTACAGAAAGGGGAAGGTCGTGAAAGGAAACGGTGTCCACAGGAGGGGTAATGGTCAAAGTACGACATAAGCGAGAGCGAGGGTGTTGTAGAGACCCCACAAAGTAGCGAAGACCGTGGTGATCACAGTGATCTTGTAGACAGGATGCCAGTTTCAACATACAGGCTCTGGGCAGGCGTCTAATGAAAGGCAACAGGGCGGAGGAGTAACCCAATATGGTGAAGAGCATCAAGACGAAGAGTTGAGGGAGAGGCAGACGAATAAGCAGGACAGACATGATCTAGTTTAGACAGCAAGAGATAGGAATAAAGAGGAGCGTGTGCCTATCAGCTCCCCAGCAAGTATGGGACAAGACCTTAAGTTAAGGGCTTCAGAGCATTCAACCGAGATAAGAGATATGGGGTAACCAAGACTAACACAATCTTTGATACAAGTGTCAAAGATTAACCTCATTAGTTCAGCAGAATCCTTATACAGAGAATTACCATAAGGTGAAAAGGAAAGGGGGGGGGGAGAAGAGACAAAGCACAACCTGCTTCTGAGTAAGGGTCATAGCACAAGTCTTAGTTGTAGAGAACTTTAAGATACGATTGATGCAGTGTTGTCCTGGTCCACCAATCAAGTTAAAGCTGCTGTTGTAGGAAAGGAGTCATCACCTTGACAGCAGATGGCAAGATTGTCAACAGAGCCAAGAAAATGCCAAGAGGGAAGAGACCGAGGGCAACCAGAAAAAATGGTGCTCAGAACAACGTTGGGTTCTGGGCACCACTTACACAGGATTTACAAGGTTTCACTGAACAAGTCATACCCAATTTATGTGGTATACCTCAAATCTAAAATTAAACTTCACCCCAAAAGCATTTATTGGCGACTTGCCAATATTAAATAAGATTTAAAAAGTAGGGAGAGTAAAAACTCAAAAGTAACATGCACAAATTTCTGCATTGGCAACCAGCAGAGACTACTACCTTACTGTACTTACTTTGAACTTTTGTACTTGTCTCTTATCGCATGTTGCTGTGGTTCTTGAACTCTAGAAAACGCTCTATACAAGTTAACGTAACATTCTCTTAGATCTTCAAGCGTATATCCCGTGGATTCTGCCATATGCTGTGGCCAGGCAAATCTCGCCTAAAAAGGAAAAATAAATTCAAGAAAATGCCACTTCAGATTTAAACAGACTTGTCATACTGGGATGTGTAGACCAAGATTTGTAGAGCTGTATAGGAAAAGCTATTATATACAAGTATATAAAAAAAAATTAATGCACTTTATCATGCCCAAAAACTTTACATTCAGACCAGTCTTACCGCATGGGCCTGATGGGCACTTGCCCGGGGGCCCCATGAGCAAAGGACATGTTCATTGTGGCAGCAGAATGTTTAAATATTTGGGTCTTGTTGCAAGCACACTTGTATAATACAACCCTACATCCTGGTGTGTGACTAAATATTTAAGATATATATTTCCAGGTGAGTAACCCTTTCAGCAGAAATGAAAAATGTTTTGAGTGAAGCACAAGAGTAAGAGCTGCAGAGAAAGAAAACTGGAAAACTTCCAAAATTAATATGGCTCAACACGGGTGCAAATATATAGCATCCACATCAGCATCCTCTTGCAATGTCAGCCACTAGTACTGGTCCTTCAGATATAGCGCACACATTCATTCCTGCTACCAATCGTCTAGTTTCAGCAAACATATTACTGATGCTGCTGGTGACATTTTATGACGGGAAATAACCAAATTTGTAACAGTAAAGGTGTTTGCAATCCAAAAGAAATCCAGGGCAATGGAACATTAATGATACCAACTATAGATTACTGGATTCTTAGTGGGCTCTCATCACGTCAATCTCGATAGCCACCTCTCAAATTTGTGCAGTATATAAAACAGCTGGAGTAAAGAATAGGAAGGCAAAGTTTATCAAACTGTGTTCATACGTGAACTGCGGAATGGGGAGTAAAACGTCAATGGCTTCTCTAGTCACCATCCCAAAGTTGTTTGTACCGCTTTGAATGTCACCTATTGTCCAAGGAAGAATCTTCCTTTGCTATATTGCCGTGTTTAGTCATTGAACCCCAATGTTATTGCAGAACATGAAAGTGGAAAAGATCAAAAGTGCATAACAGCATATTTGATAAGGCAAAGAAACTGGAGGTGTAGATTATTTCTTTAGCAACATCACTCAGAGCAGAGAGATAGTGTTGACACCTGTGGTTTCTGTAATTCGCTTTCCTTGCCTCTAGAGGTCTGCCATTTTGGAGAAAAACAAATTGGGTCAGCAAAAAATGGCAACTACTTAGGTATACTAGAGCTGTCTAGTGAATTTAGACCCTTTCTTTGAAGAATATCAAAATGTATGGAAATCCTGGAAAGGGAAATCCATCTTACCTGCAAATATTTTAGGAATTTATTGAATTGAACACGTTATTTGTACTCTTCTTGAATTATACATATAAAAAAAGGGCAACCGACATTTACTGTCCAATACATTAACCCTTGTACTGCTACAGCACAAGGGTCTGGAATTTAAAAAAAATATTTGAATTGCATGAAAATTACTTATGTTACAGATCCCCAACTTATTGGCTTCAGCATCGTGAAAGTTTGATCAATATTTACAAAGGATTTTTAGAATAATTTTTTTTTAAGTTTTTTTTATAATGAGAAAAGCTATTAACTGGAACTGTGGGATAATGTAATATAGGGATGCAAGCACCTGTCTGATGCACAAAGAATAGTAGTAAGAAGTGTCCACAGTGGATTTGCAGCTAGTGCCTTTATAGCATTGCTGAGCAATACAAATAATAAGTATGGGATTATGCTTATTGTCATCAACATTGGGTAATGTATTTGGTATGCATCTTACTTTCGCCAATGTCCAAATTTTTTTTGTTTTTTTGGGTGGGTAGGAGCAATTTTTCCCCCTCAATCTGATTTTGTTGTGACTTCTACAGCTTTGAGTGTATACTCGTCCCTACTTATGAGTAGATTGAAATTTGTCGACAAATAAATCTCTCAATTGGCAGAACTTGGTACTTTGATTTTTTTTTATCTGCTCTTATCTTCTGGCAAAGTACTACCTATACATGTCACCTATTTCCCCCCCCCCCCCATCATTCTCCTGCCTTTAATTCTTACTAATAGTTTTCTCATCAGCTCAACACCTTCCAATTATCCCATTTGGTACATTATGGCACTTTTGCAAAACCTTCCATAAAATCCCATTCTAAAAAAATTAGTCAAGAGTAAACACTATCCTCCATCATTGATAAGACATTTCACCATTCTCCAAGACGTGTGTACTGCATGTCATCAAGGTCCATTAACCTATTCTTTAACCAATCTATTATTTTCACCTTTGATCATTGTTGTGGAAACTTTTCTATTAAAGTTTATCCTGCATAACATTATGGTTAAACCATCACTGTACGATGCAAACACCATTTACAATATTTTCCTCAATTCTTTCATGTATTACACATGGCTATAACATTTTGATAGGTCTAGGCAAATTTCTAAGTTACCCGTCAAGAATTATCACAAATACAAACTGGTTAGAAACTAATCCAACTAAATTACAGTACTAATAAAGCTTTTTACCTGTGTGGTATGATTGGCTAAAGCAACAGCAGAAGCCGCTATCATAGATGGTAGGAACCGTAGGAATGGATCACAGTCTAACATTGACAACTCTGCTAAAAACTGCAATAAAAAACATGAAGGCATTGGAATAAAATACAAGAGGTTTGTACTGAATGCAAACATCCATCAGGAGTTTTGTACCACTGTACAGCTTTAAATGGTCTTAAGAACTAATGTGGCAGATACTATAATACAAGTTCAAAAGTTTTAACAAAATTTAAAAATTTTATAAACTAGACATGTTAAAAATAAATTGTGGGTTATTAAAATAAAAGCTGCCCATCTTCAGTCACCAAGACATTAACTACATTGTTCTTAGGTTAAAAAAAAAAAGACCGAAGGAATGTAAGTGGCAAAATGAGCAACACGAAACGTTATCCTGTCGCTGAGAAGAGAGGCAGATGGGACAAAAAAAATGGAGAGAAGGTTGAACCAGTGAGGTACCAGTGAGGTATAAACCAAGCTTCAGATAGTTGTAGCTGCAGAAAGACGCCTGGGTTTGGACACTTATGACAAGCAATACCTGAAACTAGGGCGGAGCTGGTAACCAAGGCCCCTCTCATGGTATGACCAACTTGGCCAGGACCCAGAGCAACAGCTGGACTGGGGTGAAGAGGATCAGAACCCCCACCTCTACCAGTTGAGAAATGCATCAACTGCACAGGCTTCATAATTTGGGAACTGTGCCACGTAAAAGGAAAGGCACCGAGTCCACGCCAACAAAGCGCTCTGGGCGCCCAAACTTCTCCCAAAGACACTGGAAGGAAATGGCATTGATGGTCCACACTGAGAAAATGGAAAAAGAACCAGGACAGCCCATCTGCGAGGACAATGGACACCGGACATTGACAGTACAGAGCCAAAACACAGCCTGAAGAGAAAGCCAATGATGCAGTAGCCAGCAAAAGGCCAATAGGGCCCACATCCAATGATTACAGTGGCACAAAAGGGGCTGCCCTGGAGATAGCAGACCAGGTGCCAGAGCTAAACCTTACCCAGACAAAAAATGAGGCAGGCCATATTCAGGCTCCCACACAAACTGTCACTCGGGGAGGGGGGGGGGGGCCATCTCGACACCAGATGGTGCTACAGCCTTGAAACCCTGCTAGAGGCAGAGAAAGTGATGCCAACCAACTTCCAAACGAGACCTAACCATGTCCAAACCCAGCAAGCCGAGAACTATATCATTGACAAGCAGACAGTAAGCCCAGATGGGAGCCCACAGTAGTTAGTCTGCAAGGTAGGCCAAAACCCCCAACAACTGAAGACGAGCCATGATGACTCGAGCCAAGTGTGAGAACAATTCCAGCCCAAATCTGGCTAGGACCTGAAAACAAGAGCTTGTCTTCTGGAAAGAGTGAGCACAATGCTGACAAGGACAAGGAAAGTGCTTGCAACCTGTCATTTGACTCTACAAATGACCTCCCTAAACCAAGAGCAGACAACGCCTCAGCTCTGTCCAACCACAAAGAACGAGAACCTCGAACACCGAGGTGGTTCGAAATGGGCAATTGAGCTGCAGCCGCTGATGTGAAGAACTGCACTTCAACATCTTTAGGAAAGAGTCAAGGAGAGCACGGGCCCCACCATGCTGAATCTTAAACTGCCAACACAGCCTTGTAACAAGTTAGACAGCAAAGAACACTGCCACTGCCTCCTGGAGCACAGGGCCAAACAGCTTAGGAATTGCAGCAGATGCCACAACAGTCTAGGACCACCTTGTGTGGCCCCCTGCTGAGTATCTTAACATTCTCCAGAAGTCAATTTTGATGCAATGCAAAGAGACCAAGGAAAAACAATGGAACCCAAATGCAGACGAGCACGAGGGACATACATTGCCAGCAACAGGGGATCTGTGGATGAAGATGCACGTGCCTTGTACTCCAGGAAGAGCAGGAAAGAACGGGCAGTCATTGAAAAGCCAAAAAAAAAGACAGGCCCTCCAGAAATGTACAACACAAAAGCCATCCCAAGCAAAAATATGGGATTATCAGCCAACCAGGAAACTCCCAAGAGCCTCAATATTAAATAAAAAAACAACCCTACACGCAAAGATTAAGGGGCCAGTAATGAGGCAAAACCAGGATTCACAGGAGGCAAGAAAAAGGGCCTCCTGACCGGTCGTAGGAGGGGACTTCAAGAGGCAAGATACCTCAAAAGGAAGATCAACAAGCCCAAAAGCACATGGGTATGAACCCTTGGGGAGGGGGGGGGGGGGGGAGTGGAGCCCCACAAACACCCCACATACAGGAAGGGAGGACATGAACACCCCCTCCCTCTACAAATACCATCCTTGGAGGGAACCAGGAACCAGAGTCCAAAAGGGATCCCAAGGGCCCAAATCCAACCCTCCTCCCAAGCCCTGGAAGCTGCAGTGGAGAGCCCCAGGGTAGAGCCAGCATCCTCACCCATCACCTGGGATATAAAACAGTCCAAGGGAGAGGCTTCAAAGGAAGAAAGGGCTAGCTGAAAGGAAAACCCAGAAGCCTCGGTAGGATCAGCAGGCTCGACTACCTTTATGCCCAAATCTGAAATGGCAACCCCCAAAAGCTGGTTAAGTTACAGCCCGAGTTAAACCCTGACCCAACTCAGAAATCCACAGATGCTTTGGAGCGAGAAGCAGGAGGAGGAGGAATGAGATGTAGAGGGGCAGATGGAGCCAACGTTGAACTCGCCAATACTTCTAATTCCAGGACCATGAATATATCAGGGCAACTCTGTGGTACACAACCTAGAGAACTGAAAATAGTGGCTGCCTGGTAATTCCAAACTCAATCAGAAGGGCCAGAAAGAGCCACATGGGAACAGCAACCCTACAGGACTAGGTTGAAAGTGACACTGACCAAACAAGCAGTGGCGACAAAAAGAATCTACACCACATATGGCACCAATGCAGGCGATGAGTCACAATAACGTGGCTGAAGTATGTTGACCAGACCACACACGAAGTTGAAGGGACGACGACGTTTCGGTCCGTCCTGGACCATTCTCAAGTCGATGGACCATTCTCAAGTCAATATGGCACCAATGACAAGTAACCCACAAACTCTTAAACAGGAGCAGGGTCAGGGGTGAATATCTATAGAACCACCAAACCCACAGGGAATTTCCAGGCCCTGAAGAGTAAACCAGAACAGGACACCCAGGCACCTTGATTGCTACACTGGACTTAAAATTTATCCTTCCACAATGGGGAAGTAGAGGCAAGTCTTATGCTTAAATATGTCTAGTATTAAATATTTACCATGTATTAACTTTGATTAGAGGCAACTCCTCCACAATGAATATGCAAAATAAAATTGTATATTTAACTATGTACCTTACCCCAAATATGAACACTTGTGCAAGAACCAGAAAGAATCGATATTAAAAAACCTTTAGTTTGACTTCAGTTACCTGATGAAGCCTAACAAGTTTCCAGAAACACTACAGCATGTCAGACCTATATGCCAAACTTGGGACAAAAATTACAATATCACTTACCAAGGATAAATGCAAAGTTTCTTCTGAATTTTTGCACATTCTTGAAAATTTATTCACAAATAAGTGTGCTGTTGGTACGGCCATATCGAAGCTTAACACTTTCAGTATAAGGTGCTCCATGCGCAAGATCTGACCAACTTTGTACGTATTGTCGGTTATATATGCAAACTGCCCTACATCTGGGGGATAGATTTCTTCATATTTTCTGAAAAATAGGAATGACATTTTCATAATTTAGTGTTAGTCCATCCAGACTAAATTAAGATGCCTCCCCCCCCACACACACACACTTGGGTAATTACCAAGCATCGTACAGAGGGGGACCTCCCTAACCAAGCACCGTGCAAAGGGGGGGGGGGGGCCTCCCCCCACCAAGCATCGTGGAAAGTAGGGGAGGCTCCCTAACCAAGCATCGTGGAATGTGCCCTACTGCCCGTCTTTCCCATGGACAGGCAAGCAAATTTAAGGATTTATCATCAACTGTGATAACACAAAGTTAAACACCAGAGTGGTACTACTGGTTTTTAACTATGAAGCAATGCAAAGACATAACTAGCAGAAGCCTCCCCCCCCCCCCCAGAAAGAGATTCCCTCATCAGAGGGGAATTTCCATGTAAAACAGTGCAAGAATTTTAACTTACACGATACACAAAAATAGGAATCTATAGCCAACCCAAACTTTTACTTTGGGGAGGTTTTGAATTCCAAACATATAAAATTAAAAACTTTAAAAATCATGTATACACTACAGTATTTGCTTACTATTTTTAGAAAAATTACAATACTGTATTAGGAGAATATTCCAAAGCAATTTCACAGAACAATTTCACTAACATTTGCAAAGTTTCTCAAAACCAAGTACAGTAGTCCAAAAATAGCTGTGCAAAGTCAAGCATGTTCAGAGCAAGAGGGAATCTGCATGAAGTTGCCATTCTTAAAAGGATAAGCAGGCCAATACTGAAGTGTACAATACTTAATTTTCCTCCCGACTGAAGATTAAATAGCATGACAGTCTTTACATAAAATTAAGCAAGATCTAACAAAGTTACTATGATGGCATTTAAAACTTTTACAGTACACCTGTAGAAAACCTTATTTAAACAGGACTAATATAACGTTACTGTAGTGCGCAATTAGTTTAAAGTAAGAGTGACAATCTTCTCCAATCCATGTTACATCCAGCGCCCTTTGTTTTGAAACTGATTAATCAGGTGCCTTTGATAATTAATAGAGTAAGGAGAAGGAACCAAAAGAAAAGCAACTACAGAACTATTTCAAGTAAACATTAAACTAGTGATATCTTAATATTGCAAAAGGACAACTAAATTGCAATGAAAGTATAATCTTACTACTAAAATCTAAGGATCCTTACTGCTTTCAATCCAGTAAGTACACGTTTAGAGTAAAATCAAAATTTACTCTTTAAAAAAGGTAACTATATCTGCCTTCTAGATTTATAGTTCTTATGTCAAGTATTTGGTCACTTAAAAAAAATGGACAGACCCAATGAACCACACTTTAGCATTACTAAATTTTAGTTTAAATTTAAAGTAAAATTACTAAGCAAGTCATTTTTTTAAAGTGATTAAATTTAAACAAATAGGAAAATGTTTGATGCTACAGTCCATTTTTGTACATTCAACCAAATAGTTCAAGTACTATATTATAACTTTAGGAGGACCTGATTGAACCGTTATACTCACGCAGCAATAAACATTGCAGTAGTGCCCACAAGCTGCAGCTTATCTCTCTTAACCGACATATGGGATAAAAATCTGTCTATGTAAGACACTGCCAAGTATAAGGTTTCTGTGTGAAGGCTGTACTCTTCTGCAACTTCCACAAGCCAGTCTACTAGAATCCATCTCATACTTGCTGTTATATCCGTTTGTTTCGACATGTAGTTTGCACGAGGTTTGTGACATACCTGGTTGAGAACATTAAAAGTTTTGTTTAGTGTAAATGTTTATCACAAACTAATTCATTAACCCACACCGAATGAAAAAAAGTTGCTAATATAGGCATTATAATAATTTCCTTAGTATTGAAATTAAAGAAAATATTGTACAAAGATTCCACAAGAATTTAAACAATCATACCTCCGCTTCTTTCAGGTACTGATAAATATCTGCAGCATATTCTGGTACATCATAAATATCATCATTTCTACTATGAAGGACATCCTCTCTGGGTGTTGTTTCTACTACCATGAGATCATCTTCACAAACACTCATTTCCATAACATCCGTTGACCCAGAACTTTCTATATCTGAAGATCTGTAAAGAATGAATGTTAAGTACAAAACTATATCAATGTCAGTCAGATTTCATTACCAACTGTAAATGCCACACTACTTACTTTTGTAGCATTGTTATAGATGGGTCAATTTCTGGAGTGCCTTCTGATTTTGTCTCTCTGGGTTTACTTAACCGTTCTTGTAATGGTAAGGACACCGAAGTGATGCTTTTACTCATCAAGTTGGTTGATCCGGAGGATCCCATGGATACACAAGAGGATTCATCTTCATGAATTGTGAAAGGTTGACTCGAAGCCAATCTGGGGTTGGGGCACACATTTTCATCCCCGACTTGTGGAACTCCAGTTTCATAGCTGACGCCCTATAAAACAACAATAAATTACTTTCAACTACTAAATTCAATAACCTAAAAAAATTGTATAATTTTCCCTATACTTTACTGCAGTCTACTGTAATCTCAAATTTGGATCATGTAGGTCAAATTCAAAGTCAAGATGCAGACACCCAAAGTTTTTACGCATGTGTAAAGCTAATTTTCCTCCCGACTGAAAATTAAATAGCATGACAGTCTTTACATAAAATTAAGCAAGATCTAACAAAGTTACTATGATGGCATTTAAAACTTTTACAGTACACCTGTAGAAAACCATATTTAAACAGGACTAATATAACGTTAAATTTATTCAGTATTTAATTCATCCTATTGGCAGCTTGAGCAACCAAAGCCTCACCATAACAATTAGTACCATACCACATTTGGAGAAGTCACTGGTTAAAAAGCAGGTCAACATACATGGTCTGCCATTTAGGCTATTTTTAGCCCAATCATTAATTCAGTTTCCTTAATTCTTTATTCTACCTAGTATGGACAGGCTTCATATATATTGTATTCTGTATACATTTTTGCCAAATCATAGTTAAACTACATACTTTGTAACTTCTTGGCATTTGAGAAAATTGGCCATTCTTTCCAGTGGTACAGTTACAAATATTTACAATGTACAAAATATTGTTTTTATCGGCAAGTACAGTATCTATTTTAGTAAAAATATGGTCCTAGTAACCTTTTACTTTGACCAAATCTAATTCAAGAGCTTTAGATAATATCTATAGGATCCAGCAAGTTCAGTAGAACTTCAGTTTCAACTCTTGACCATGTCGTAGCTCAGTCTATTAAGGCAGGGTCTGGGATGCTCCCAGACGCAGGTTCGAATCCTCATCACGGCTCTTGTAGTTTTGTTCATATTATGGCAAAATTCTGCAACATTATGCAACTTTGTTGAAAAAGGAAGGGGGGAAGAGGGGAGAAGGGAGAAGGGTTCAAGTCACAGCGAGTGTTTAGCACAAGTACAAGCAGGAAAGGAGAGGCACTAAATGCTGTAGCTGGTTTGAGGTGAAACCACAAGGCAATTTTCAACAGGTTAATGGATCAGCTTCCCTAAATACCTATTACAGGAGAGATGGTGAAAGGATGGGGGGGGGGGGGGGGTGGCAGTGGGACAAATACAGTGGAACCTCGCACGACGCGCCCCTCAATTTACGATCATTTTGAATAACGAGCGCGCCAATCGCCGACAATGTCTCAATTGGCGAGCGCTTGTTTGATTAACGAGAAAACCATTGTGCGTTCCCGCTGCTTCTCATTCTGATCCCTCCGACGATGCAATTTTTTTTTTTAAAGATGCTAATGATGCTGGGATGTATGGAACCAATGATGCAATTATTAGTCTCCTTGATATAATTTACTCAGCCCTTGACAAAAATGAGTTTCCAATTGGACTCTTCATTGACCTGAGAAAGGCCTTTGATACTGTTAATCACAATTACCTCTTACGTAAACTCCATTATGGAATCAGCGGCCATGCACTGGATTATATCCAATCCTATCTTAGTGATAGACACCAATGTGTAGCCATCAATAATATAACCTCCCACTACCAATAACCGTTTGAGTGCCACAGGGCAGCATCTTGGGACCTCCCCTATTTCTTATATACATCAATGATCTGCCTAATGTCTCTAACATTCTGAAACCTATATTGTTTGCTGATATTACCCTCATCTACTCCAACCCCAACCCACATACACTAAATAATGTTAATAATGATGAACTAAAGAAGTCCACTTATGGATGTCAATCAACAAACTAACACTTAACATAGAAAAGACCTACTACATCCAATTTCAAAGCAAATCTACAAATGCAATTCAGCTTCAGATAGACAATGTAAACATTAGCAATAAAAATGGAAAGTTTCTTTGCCTCTTCCTAGACAAGAGAACTTCAGCACCCACATACAACAACAACAACAACAACTAAGAAAGTCTCAAACAGTTGGTATACTCTCCAAAATCAGATATGTACCCAACTCTGCTCTCATCTATATTATGCACTAATCTAGATGTATCTTAATTATGGTATCTGTACATGGGATTCAACCACTGCAAACCACCTCAAGTCCATCACCCAGCAAAAATCTGCTATCAGAATAATAAATTCTGCTTTCAGACACTTGGCCTCCTTGTTAAATTCCCTAAACATGCTAAACAATTTCACTTCAAATTCTCCTGTGTCAACTACATTTACAAAATCCTGTTCTTAAATGCAAATCCTGCTCTGAAACTCTCCCTGGACAGATGTAATAGGACCCATTATCACCACATCAGAAATAAATATCTGATATCTCCAGAGTCAAACTTAATCTGTGTAAACACTATGCAAATAAAGGAACCCAGTCTATGGCACTCACTCCCTAATTTAAAAGCTGTCCAACTGTCATTCAAAAACAAAACTAAAGTACCTAATTTCATCTTCATAGTTTTTTACCTTGTTTTAAAATTGCACTGCATCTATTGCTACCCAATCTCCCAATCTTTATGTACCCAATCCGAACATCTTTACCATTGTGATCATAGCTGTCTTATGTGCACTATCAATCTGCTGTATAGTGCCTATTAATCTTTAAATTGCCAATCAAGCTGTCACTAATCAGAGCGTTAATATACCAATGTGCTTTTACTTACTAATCTCATCTCTTGCAATGTATCTTATTAATTCTGCTAGAATTTACCTACTTAAAATGTTAGATTAGGGACCTGCACGAAACGCTGCGTGTACTAGTGGCTTTACAAGATTGTAAATACTATGCTATGTATTCTCACAAACCCAATGTACCTTTAAAAAAAAAAAAATATGAAAATGTAAAAAAAAAGAATAAAAAGGAATAAGAATAAGAAAAAAGAATAAAGATTAAAAAATAAAAGTAAAAAAGAATAAGTGCGCTCAACTCTCACCATTGTTCGCCGAGGTATCACCTGCATACTTCTGTATACTACTAAATATATATATATATATTCTCTTAGTGTGCGTTTATTATCACCACCATACTTTACGTAACAATAGAACCGTTACATTGGTTTAGAAAATAGAATTCCTCCTTTTATATAATAATTCTTCTGCCTCCTCCTCCTTTTATACAAGAATTCTTCTGCCTCCTCCTCCTTTTATACAAGAATTCTTCTGCCTCCTCCTCCTTTTATACAAGAATTCTTCTGCCTCCTCCTCCTTTTATACAAGAATTCTTCTGCCTCCTCCTCCTTTTATACAAGAATTCTTCTGCCTCCTCCTCCTCTTATACAAGAATTCTTCTGCCTCCTCCTCCTTTTATACAAGAATTCTTCTGCCTCCTCCTCCTTTTATACAAGAATTCTTCTGCCTCCTCCTCCTTTTATACAAGAATTCTTCTGCCTCCTCCTCCTTTTATACAAGAATTCTTCTGCCTCCTCCTCCTTTTATACAAGAATTCTTCTGCCTCCTCCTCCTTTTATACAAGAATTCTTCTGCCTCCTCCTCCTTTTATACAAGAATTCTTCTGCCTCCTCCTCCTTTTATACAAGAATTCTTCTGCCTCCTCCTCCTTTTATACAAGAATTCTTCTGCCTCCTCCTCCTTTTATACAAGAATTCTTCTGCCTCCTCCTCCTTTTATACAAGAATTCTTCTGCCTCCTCCTCCTTTTATACAAGAATTCTTCTGCCTCCTCCTCCTTTTATACAAGAATTCTTCTGCATCCTCCTCCTTTTATACAAGAATTCTTCTGCATCCTCCTCCTTTTATACAAGAATTCTTCTGCATCCTCCTCCTTTTATACAAGAATTCTTCTGCCTCCTCCTCCTTTTATACAAGAATTCTTCTGCCTCCTCCTCCTTTTATACAAGAATTCTTCTGCCTCCTCCTCCTTTTATACAAGAATTCTTCTGCCTCCTCCTCCTTTTATACAAGAATTCTTCTGCCTCCTCCTCCTCCTTTTATACAAGAATTCTTCTGCCGCCTCCTCCTTTTATACAAGAATTCTTCTGCCTCCTCCTCCTCCTCTTATACAAGAATTCTTCTGCCGCCGCCTCCTCTTATACAAGAATTCTGCCGCCTCCTCCTTTTATACAAGAATTCTGCCGCCTCCTCCTTTTATACAAGAATTCTGCCGCCTCCTCCTTTTATACAAGAATTCTGCCGCCTCCTCCTTTTATACAAGAATTCTGCCGCCTCCTCCTTTTATACAAGAATTCTTCTTCCTCCTCCTCCTCCTTTTATACAAGAATTCTTCTTCCTCCTCCTCCTTTTATACAAGAATTCTTCTGCCGCCTCCTCCTTTTATACAAGAATTCTTCTGCCTCCTCCTCCTTTTATACAAGAATTCTTCTGCCTCCTCCTCCTTTTATACAAGAATTCTTCTGCCTCCTCCTCCTTTTATACAAGAATTCTTCTGCCTCCTCCTATACAGGAATTCTTATACAAGAATATTCTTCTTCCTCCTCTTATATTCTTCTTCCTCCTTTTATATTCTTCCTTTTATACTCTATAAATTTTTAAGAGAATATAAAAGAAAAAAGAGAATATAAAAGAATAAAAGAAAAAAGAATAAGAATAAAGAATAACACCAACTGTGCGCTCAAGTCTCACCGTTGCTCGCCGAGGTATCACCTGCATACTTCTGTATACTCTACTAAATATATATATATTCTCTTAGTGTCTTTATTATCACCACCATACTTTACGTAACAATAGAACTGTTACATTGGTTTAGAATAAAGAATAAAAGAATAAAGGCCCCCCTTAATAAAAAAAATTTTATGTAAAGGGTGGCCTTTATTCTTTTTTCTAAACCAATGTAACGGTTCTATTATGTAAAGTATGGTGATAATAAACACAGACACTAAGAGAATATATATATATTTAGTAGAGTATACAGAAGTATGCAGGTGATACACTCCATAAGATGTAGCAGTCCAGAAACAGGATTTCCCAGTGCATTCTATGCAGATACCTCTCACTATCTACAGTGTCCAAGGGATCTGGAGACTT